CAGCTTCTCTGGTCCCTGCTCGGAGCCTGAACCATGTCCAGGGTCCTCCACATCTTCCAGAGCCGACTCATAGGGTCCCTCGCTATTGGAATCTGTCGGCAGCTCCAACGGCTCCTGCTGGGCCACAACAGGTAACTATGACCCTTTAAATGTTTTTGAGTTATAATTTTCACTATCCTTCACTGTAGCCCATCTACCAAGGGCTGCTTGGAATTGAAGTTGAGCCAGGAGGTCACATTTCCTTTGTCCCTGATGCAATGAATTGTGGGAAATTAAAAGGTATGGCAGTCTGCCTTTATAACCAGCAAACCAGGCATGGAAAGAATCCGTGACTGAGCGGGGACATGATAACTGTATTCCAGTATTTGAGAGGTTGCCACAAAGAGGAGGGGGTTGACTTATTTTCCAAAGCACCAGCAGGCAGGACAAGAAAGAATGGATGGAAACTAATCAAGGACAGAACCTGGAATTGAGGAAAAACTTCCTAACAGAACAATTAGCCAGTGGAACAGTTTGAAAACCCCAAAATGCAAAGTGCATGCAGTCCCTGTGCATGCATGCCCTGGCTCATGCATGCGCCCCCCGGCCCATGCATGTGCCCCCCACATGCATGCACACATGGTCCATGCACATGAAGCCCCACATGCGCCCGCCTCCTGCACATGTGTGGCAGAGACCTAAAGGCCAGCTGGCGGAGGGGAGACATATGCGCATGCGCAGTACAACTGAGCTGGGGTGACGGTTTGCATGCCCACAGAGAAGGTGTGGCATGCCACCTCAGGCGCCCGTGTCATAGACTTGCCATCACTGGTATAAGGTATCCTGCTTGAGCAAGGGGTTGGATTAGGAGACCTCTAAGGTCCCTTCCAGATCTTTTCTAATTGATCTTAAACTTGCTAAAGTTGAAAAACACTGGGGGAATGCACACTCTTGCTTTTCTTTTGGAGATGTATTAAGAACTAGGAAAAGAATGAATTTTTCAAGAAAGTGGGGGGACCCAGCATGTAGCATTTTGTACATTTAGTAAATGAGTCACTTAGCTTTCAAATTCATTGTCAATTTATCCCAGCTAGAAGCCAAATCAATCACTACATACTTTGCTCTTCCTCCTTGACTTGCAATCACCCTTAATAGGTCTCAGTTTGGGGCATTATGTTTGTTTGTTTTTTAAGGGAGAGAGGGTTAATTTTTCAAACTAATTCTTGTTTCAATCTGTTCTTCATTTGTGTCTGTTTTTCCAACAGCTTTCAACTGTTAATACAGAACTTTATATTCATTTTTGTCCCCCTTTCTCATTATGTACATTTCTGTATGTAATTTTGCTCAGTATAATGTGTACACAAATAATGGCCCCTGATGAAATTGTTATGGATGAAGAACTGTCTTCCAACCTTTCAATAAAATATAACTCTGCCTTTGTTCATGAAGTGGGAATTAGAAACCCACAATTGCATCCAGCTGTGAAAAATATTTTCTATCCTATTCTTTGCTGTTTTATTTTGTTTTTATTTCTTTTAGGGGAAAACTGGAGGTGTAAATAAATAGTTATTTGTAGATGTGGCCATCTCCTCAGGTCTAACCAATCTCGTGGTATTTATTTTGTACAATGACAATAAAGATTATTCTATAATAAAGGCCTCCAGAGTCCAATCATTTAGCAGGAGAGGGAAGCTTCTTATCTCTAATGCACCTCTGTACAAATCACCCTCATGTCTCCAGGTATTTTTTTTAACATATATATATATATATATATATATATATATA